AACAGAATAATGAGACAAATCAACCGGTGTAAAGAAAACACAATTGCTAAAAAAATTTTTTTTATTACTTGTTATAAAATTGTGTTTTCTTATATAAAACTTCTTTTCGTAAATTTAAGTCAAATATCAATTTGTAGTAAATTGTTTAAAATTCCGTGTGATTTTTCAAAGTTTAAATGAATATCGCGATCTTAAAACAACGAACATTTCCATTTTCTCATATTTACACGTAAATAAAAAATAAGGAAAAACGTTTATCAAAAATCGGCCATGACAGATCTCTGAGGAATTTCATAAGCTTTAATTTAAGACCAAAATAATTACAATAGGTTGTATACTTTTGGCTAAAAGTTGTTTTGAACGAAAACGTGCTACTTTGCCCCACTGTGCGGCGGTTCAGTGCGGGCGGCGCAGGCGCGATACGTTCGGTGTCGGCGCGGTATACTGTCTGTTTGCCGGTGACAGCTCATGCTCGCGGTTAGGTTTGCCGGTGACAGCTCATGCTCGCGGTTAGGTTAGGTTAGGTTAGGTTAGGTATCGAGCCACTCAGCACATGGCGAGGATTATAAGCTTCGCTCAGCTCGCGATAGCCTACGGAGAGGATGGCCACTCAGCGCGTGGCTCGGATCGGCAGGGATCTCCCGCTCAACTCGTGGTTCTCGGGCAGGCGCTCAGCACGCGCCAGGATCATAGGCGGGTCGGTTTCTCGCTCAACTCGCGAGTTCGGAAGCGGCTCGGACTCAGCACGTCGTCGCCGTGGGTAGACCTGTTCAGCTCACAGGTCGGGATCTGGTCCTCTCGGTGGATTTATGCCGGCTTATATACCCGTTGGTTGTAGGTGCGGGACGGAGTGGTGCTGGGGAACTTGTGCGCGGTGGGGAGAGTTCTTTGTTGTTAACGGCACGTTACAATTTAAGCAAAGTTTTTGACGATTATGCAAATAAAACGAATTGTAAGTGCACAAATATTTTGAATACTCAGTTACTTTACGATGATAAAAATAATTAAACTAAATTTTTAGACAATTTAGAAATTAAATTGTAACTTTATTTTAATACTAGCGCGCTTGCCCGGCTTTGTCCGAGCTTTCCGTCCTCTGAATCTTCTTTTCTTAGAAATATCATTATTCATCATTCGCATATTTAAATTTTTTCGTGTATATTTCTGAATTTTCTTTTGAACAACTTTCCTCGTTAATATGGCTTTTTCACACTCTAACTTTAAATTAATCCATTTATTGTTTTTTGTCATTAAAAAAAATATATATATCTCCCAACATATACGTTAAATATATGTATACATATGGATTAGCATACCATTTTGTTATTTATATAATTAATCTAAAGGTATTAAATAATTATTGATTATAAAATGTATTTATGTAATTACAATGTGATTATTGAAAACTTTTGCATATATGTTGCAAAATATATTATTATTAAGTCCGTTTTAAATAAAAAGTCCAAATTTAAATAAAAATGTCCGACCCCGGAGTGATTACACCTTCACACGCGACTGTGTTTTCGGGTACACCACAATTAATCACTTAGTAATACGCAAGTAATACGGCAAGTCCAGTAACATCCTCTGGAGTCACTGGATCTAACGCACAATCCGTAGCGGGCACACGCAGTAGCGGGACGGACTACGGACCTCAGGGAGTGATTCGCGGAGATGGCTGCTGCCTCGGTCTTACAGAGCGACTGACTCGATCACGAACGGTTCCGCGATCGCGCGAAACATGAAGCGAAGCTTGATTGGTGGACAAGCTCACGCGATCCAGCTAGCAAATGGGTGAAAGCCCGAGACCCGCCGGTCGTCCGATCACACGCGGAGCACGCGCCCAAACGGTGCGAGTTCGAGGACGCGACGCACGAAAGCATCGCGGCGCGACCCGCAGCGATGAGCGACCAGAGATCGCGCCACGATGTCGAATCGGAGCGGAACTCGAACATACTGCCCGCCTTGAAACGTAGTTTCAAATTAAACTTCATTAGGCAGAATTACCACGATGCAAGGCGGGAGAAAGATCACCAACGGGGATCAGTCCTTCGGCATCGCTGAGTCTACGCAATCTCAGGATGAGGAGATCCACCGGGTGAAACGGAGATACAAAGTACAAAGCGCAAGTTAGACTAAACTAAGGGACGCATGGAACATTGACAGGATACGTGAAGGTGTCGCAGAATGTCATATAAGACAAGAAGATCAGACAGACGATGAAGGCATTAAGTCCCGATGTAGAGTTATGGCGCTAGACCTGACGCGCGTCACCGGTACAGTCACATGGTGACACCATCGGAGCTTTCGAGTGGCAAAATACACAATTTTCCAATTGAACGAACGTACTCCGAGGCGGCGGTCTTGACGGTCACGACGCGGGTGTGACCATCGGAGCCCGGATGCAACCGGATAATACGGCCTAAATCCCACTTGCACGGAGGCAACAACGGGTTGCGCAGTAGCACGAGTTTTCCTACGCTAATAGACGGTTGAATTTTTCGCCACTTGCTTCCCTGTTGCAATGTGTTAATATAATCGGATGTCCACAGTCTCCAGAACCGCTCGATCATGTGGCGAACAGTTTGCCACCGCGAGAATCGATTTTCGGCGAGGTGGAGTAATGACGGCTCAGGAGGAACAGTAAGAGACGATCCAACAAGAAAGTGCCCCGGAGTCAGACATTGATAATCGTCGAACGAGTCCGAAAGAGGAGCGATTGGGCGAGAGTTCAGACACGCCTCAATCTGAATCAAGAGTGTTGAGAACTCTTCATAGGTGAGGGTGTGGTTGCCCAAGACACGACGCAAATGGTGTTTCACGCTACGAACACCGGCCTCCCACAATCCGCCGAAATGAGGAGAGGAAGGAGGAATAAAGTTCCACTCAACGCTGTCGCAGGCGGTGCGATTGAGAAAATTAGGGTCGCGGATCGCGTTTCGATAGGCGAGCCGCAATTCCGCGTCAGCGCCAGTAAAGGTTGTGCCGTTGTCGGAATACATGGCTTGGGGCAAGCTTCGGCGTGAACAGAATCGATTAAAAGCGCTTAGGAACGCGGGTGTGGAATAGCCTCCAACCAATTCTAAATGAATGGCTCTGGTGGCCAGGCACACAAATAAGGCAATGTAAGCCTTTCTCGAGGTTATGCCTCGACCGGCGGAAGCCCGAATATGAACTGGACCAACGTAATCGACGCCGCAGTGAGAAAAACTGCGGGAAGACGGGGACACGCGACTGGCGGGGAGATCCCCCATGAGCTAAGTCGGAACTACAGCGCGTTCGCGAGTACACGCGACGCAATCGTGAATGACAGATTTAATGACGCTACGGGCACGGGTGATCCAGAATGTTCGACGAAGAGTACTCAGAGTAAGCTGGGTTCCAGCGTGAAGATGGCGCAAATGAGTCTGAGCAACGATGAGACGCACCAAAGGATGAGGAGACAGAATGATCGGATGCCGCTGGGCGTACGGAATCGGAGCGTTTCGGAGTCGACCGCCCACTCGCAGCACGCGATCATGATCAAGAAACGGGTTGAGCGCAATGATGGGACTCTTTGAGGAGATGGATCGATTTGAAAGGAGAGCGTGGAGCTCAGCAGGGAAAAGCTCGCTCTGAATGCGTTTGATCCAAACGATGGTGGACCGGGCGCACTCATCGGAGGAGAGCGCCAGGGAATCGATTCCCAGAGGATGACCATCGATTTTGGATCGGCGACACGCATTGGCAAAGCGAAGGACGTACGCGGTGACGCGAATCAATTTGTTCCAAGAGGAGTATCGAGTCGCGAGGTCCCATTGGATGGGGGCCTCCGCGATATGATGTGAGCGTACTCTTTCCTCTAACGGAGCATCCATTTGATAATTAATCGGGTTGGGGGGCCAGTCCTGGGAAGGTGAGCATAGCCATGGAGGACCATGCCACCAAAGGGTGTGAGCGAGCAGCTCATCACCCAAAATGCCACGGGATGCGCAATCGGCAGGATTGTATGCAGTGGGTACATGGCGCCAGGTGGCGCCTGATAAAGTCGACTGAATTTGTGCGACGCGGTTGGCCACGAACGTGGTCCAGCGCGATGGATGTGATTGTAGCCATGAGAGGACCACAGTGGAGTCAGTCCAACAGGTACATGAGACGGAATCCAGACGGAGGACGCCCCTGACAAACTGCATGAGACGACTCAGAAGGAGGGCGGCCGAGAGCTCGAGTCGAGGGATCGTGAAGGGCTTGATCGGAGCGACTCTAGATTTGCCGGCGATCAATGATACGGTGACTTCACCGGAAGGCGAACAAGCCTTTAAGTAAATTGATGCGGCATAAGCGTGCGTGGATGCATCGGCGAATCCGTGCAGCTCGAAGGACGCCTGTGGTTGAGAATGGGTCCATCGCGGTAAGGTGACTTCGTTTAGGCGCACGAGATTTTTATAAATGAGGTGCCATTGTTTGAGCAAGGGAGGATCGAGATCCTGATCCCATCCGAGTTGCGAGCGCCACAGCGCTTGCATGAGGATCTTTGCGGCGACGGTGACGGGGGTAGCCCAGCCCAACGGATCGTACAGTCTTGCGATCGTGGACAGAATCGTGCGTTTGCATCGTGGGACCGCGCTGTCGAGAGTCACCGTAAAAGTAAAAACATCGCGCGATGGGTTCCACACGATTCCGAGCACCTTGACCCGTTCATCAAGTGCTGGCGGAAAGCTGCACGCCAAGCCATGATTGGCAGGGTCGATATCTGCGAGCAGGTCGGAGGAATTGCTCGCCCACTTGCGTAGCTCGAATTTCCCACAATGGAGCAGGGCGAC